GCCATTAGAATCGCAAAAAGGAAAATTGCAGAGGAGGGTACAGAGCAACTGCAACTCTTACAGTTTGCTGGTAGAAATGAAAACTGCTTTAGAAAACTGCTTGACACTTTCTTATGTAGTGAGACATATACCTATTATAAGGACTTGCAATCCCTTTGCAGTAACTCGAAAAAAAAAATGAAAATCTTATGTCCATAAAAGATATGTATCTGAATGTTTATAGGACTGGAAATAGCTGAAATGTCCATCAACTGGTGAATAAATAAATGAATTATGGTGCATCCATACAATGGAATCCTCCTTCAGTGTAAAAAGGAACAAACTATTAATACACACAGCAATGCTGATGGACCTCAAAACTTTTATGCTAAGTGAAAGAAGCCAGACACAAAAGTCTACATACTGCACAATTCCATTTATATGACATTCTGGAAAAGGCAAAACTATGTAAACAGAAATCAGATCAGTGGTTACCAAGGGGTAGGGGTGAGGGCGGGGATTGAATACTAAGGGGGCACAAAAGGAATTGCTTGGGGTGAGGCAAATATTCTATATCTTAATTCTGGTGGTGGTGGTTAGATGACAGTATATATTAATCAAAACTCATTGAACTGTTCACTTGAAGTTAATTGTACTGTATGTAAACTATACCTCAATAAACCTAACCTTAAAAAAATCGACAAGGTGGAGAAAAAGTGTGACTATTTCTGCTTGCCACTTAGGATCAAGTGATAAAAATGATGTTCTCTATAATGTGCCAAGCTCCTAAAACAGGCAAGATGCTAGTTATCATGTACTCCTGCCTGTTACTGCCCCCTCATCTCCTCCCACTCTCCCTTTGCTTGTTAATTGTGGAGCACACAGGCTCTCTTCCTGTCTCTCTAACTCAGGAGGATCATGGCAGCCTCAGACTCTTTGCACTAGCTGTCTCCAAGATATTTGCACAGTTGACTTCTTCTCATCACTCATGTCTTAGCTCCAAAGACAGCTCCTAGAAGAGGCTACCTTGATCACCTTCTAGAAAGAAGCTACCTGCTAACCCACCTAGCTACTGCATTATTTTGTATTATTTTTCTCCTCATAGCCCTTATCACTATTTGAAATTCTTATTTGCTTGTATGTTGTTGTCTGTGTCTCTCCATCAGAAGGCAAGGCTTTTGTCTGTCATTCTTACCATCTAGGGCAGTCTTTGGCACAGCAGATGCAATAAAGATTTGTTGAATGGATGTAGTCCTTGTTAAACTAGAGAAGACATCTTTTTTTTTTTTTGGCCACGCCACGCAGCACATGGGATGTAGGATCTTTGTTCCTCAACCAGGGATCGAACCTGTGCTCCCTGCAGTGGAAGCATGGAGTCTTAACCACTGGACTGCCACAGAAGTCTCTAGGGAAGGCATCTTTAAGGAATAAACTTCCTATTCAGATTCCGGAAGTATAGCCAACTAAACAAATGTTTGTTATACACCATATTTTCACTAGTCCCTCCCATGACGTGAATTTCATACCATTATTCATTTGTAGTTTATTGTAAAGAACACTAGACTGAGAGTCAAGAGTCCCAAATTCTAGCCTTGATCCTGCCACTAACTAAAACACTGAAAATTTGGGTCCAAAATTCCATTTCTAGAAATTTATAGCAAGGAGAAAATTACAAACATACACGTGCACCAGGAACCAGGATGCTCATCCAATGTATTGACAATAGCAAAGTTGGGAGGAAGATAATTTCACACAGCAGTTTTGGCTAAATATACCCTGGTTTATCCATCAATGTCACATTGTGAATTCATTTGAAAATGATGATTATTCAGTATTCATTTTTTTACTTATTCAATAGATGTACATGGAGTACTTGCCAATTTCAGGTACTGTTCTAGGTGCTGAGGATGTAGCAGTGAATGAAACAAAGGCCCTCTGCTCATGAATCTTGTATTTTAAAGGGGAAGAAAGACAATGAAAATAAATCAACTACATAATATGATATCAGATGATAACACGTTCTATGAAGGAAGGATAATGCATAGTAAGGGGATTGGGGACATTCCCCAAGAGAATGACTGGGGCATGCCACTTTATATAGAGTGACCACAGAAGACCTCTCTGATAAGGTCACATATGGCCAGAGACCTGTATGAAGTGAGGAGGTGAGGCATGTGAATGTCTGTGGAAACAGAGTTCCAGGAAAATGCAATGGGTCTAAGGCAGAAGTAGGCTTGAAAATTTCGAGGGAAAGAAAGAAATCCTGTAGCCGGAGAAGACTGAGCATGGAAAAAAATGGTAGGAAATATTATTATTGGAGATGTAGCTAAGGACTAGATTTTGTAGCGCCTTATATACGCCATGGTGAGGACATTAGATTTTATTATAAATGTGATGAAAACCTTGGAGAACTTTGAATAGAGTGGTTAGATTTTTTTTTTAAATTGGGGTATAGTTGCTTTACGGTGTTGTGTACGTTTCTGCTGTACAGCGAAGTGAATCAGCTATATGTATACATGTATCACCATTTTTTTGGATTTCCTTCCCATTTAGGTCACCACAGAGCATTGAGTAGAGTTCCCTGTGCTGTAGGTTCTCATTGGTTATCTATTTTACACATAGTAGTGTATATATGTTGATCCCAATCTCCCAATTCATCCCACCCCACCTTTCCCTCCATGGTGTCCATACTTTTGTTCTTTACGTCTGTGTCTCTACTTCTGCTTTGCGAATAGGTTCATCTGTACCATTGTTCTAGATTCCACATATATGCGTTATTATACGATATTTGTTCTTCTCTTTCTGACTTACTTCACTCTGTATGACAGTCTCTAGGTCCATCCACGTCTCTACAAATTACCCTGAGTAATACTGCATTCTATATATGTACCACATCTTCTTTATCCATTCATCTGTCAGTGGACATTTAGGTTGCTTCCATGTCCTGGCTATTGTAAATAGTGCTGCAATGAACATTGGGATGCATGTGTGTTTTTGAATTATGGTTTTCTCAGGGTATATGCCCAGGAGTGGGATTGCTGGGTCATATGGTAGTTCTATTTTTAGTTTTTTAAGGAACCTCCATAGTGTTCTCCATAGTGGCTTTATCAATTTGCCTTCCCACCAACAGTGTAAGAGGGTCCCCTTTTCTCCACACCCTCTCCAGCATATACTGTTTGTAGATTTTTTTGATGATGGCCATTCTGACCAGTGTGAGGTTATACCGCACTGTAGTTTTGATTTTCATTTCTCTAATAATTAGTGATGTTGAGCATCTTTTCAAGTGCTTCTTGGCCATCTGTATGTCTTCTTTGGAAAAATGTCTATTTAGGTCTTCCACCCCTGTTTTGATTGGGTTGTTCAGATCTGTCTTATATTTTAAGACTGTGGTAAATAGGCTAAGGAAGGACAAAAGTGGAAGCAAGGAAACTAGGCTATTTCATAAGTCCAGGGGAGATTATGGTGGCATGGACTAGGACTGAGGCAGTGGGGATGGTGAAAATTAATTATATTTAGGACTTTTACTTATTCCCAAATACAAGTAATACAAAAGGCCGGTATGGTAGTTTTGAATGGAGTACGAGAGAAAGAAGAGTAAAGGTGAACCTTTAGATTTGAGCCTTTGCAATTGAATAAAGATGTGGGATAGGAGGGTCTGAATGCAAAGGAGAGGGTGTTGCCAGGGCCTGGATAGCATCTGGGTATTATCACCTGGATGACATCCCACTAAGAACTGATAACTGAGTCCTGGGGCAATTCAAAAGATCAGTTGTGCCAAATGCTGCTGAGAGTAGAGTAAGATGAGTACTAAGAATGCCCATTGGCGGTCACAGTGTACGTCACATTGGTCTCAGTGAAGGGAGAAAAGCCTGATTGGGGTATGCTCAAGAGTGAACAGATTTCTTCAACAAATAAACTGATGGTGGGGGGTGGGGATTGAGGTGGAGGAAGGAAACTATAGATTAAAAGATAATTAAATGATACATCATCCAGTTACAAAGGGGTGGACGTTATCGGATCCTCAGATAATTGGTATACAAATACTGACTTGATTTTGATGATATTAAATACTTATTAATTTATTTTAAAATGAGACAATGGTTCTCTGGTTCCAAGAACAAACAAAACGAGTCCTTACTTTTTAGAAATGCTTGATGAACTGAAATAATGTCTATCGGTAGATAATTGTTGAAGTTGGGTGATGAATACACTATTCTCTCTACTTTCGTGTATGTTTGGGAACTCTCCGTAATTAGTTTAAAAAAAAATCAAATAATCTTAAAGAGTTAAAGTTGAGAACGTTTATCAGAATAACAACCTTATTTTTGTAAGCGCAACATGCTCTTGGAAGATCCCATAAATTTAGAAATGTGTAACATTTCTTACGAAAATAACCTCCAAAAGAATTAAGTGTACTTTTTTTTTTTACACTTGTAATTTGTTGCCTGGAAATAGAATCTGAATTCGCAAATTAAAATAAAAGTGAATAGACGGTGAAAAAATGCAAATTAAGAATATATTATTGATTCTCAATCATGTTCACAGGTATTTCCAGATTACAAAATACTTAAACAGCGTATAGAGTCCAACCTCATATTTTTAAATGTTATTTTTGACAGTGGGGCTACAGTCAATATCATTTCTAAAAATATCTGCTTACTGTATTGTCTAACGTTTACGTAAGACGTATGGATGCCTCAATTTTAAGCGTTGGAAAAAAAAAAGAAAAAGAAAGGAACGAGCTACCAGCTGCTGCTTTTATTGATACAAAGTACAGAAATCCTCCGCGGCTGCAAAAGCCGCAGCCGCAGCCAAATTGCCAGAAGGCGGCAGGCGGCTCGGGGTCGGTGAGGGTGTGTGTGTGTGTGTGTGTGTGTGTGTGTGTGTGTGTGTGTGTGTGTGTGTGTGTGTGTGTGTGTGTGTGTGTGTGTGTGTGTGCGTGCGCAGGCGCAATAGCAAGCCCTCGGTCAGAGGCGGGCCTAGAGCCTCGGTTAAAGGACAGCTATTTCAGCCAATCAAGGGACAGCGTCAGAGGCTTCTTCCTGGAAGAGGAGGTTGGAAGTTGGGTCTCGGCGGCAGTGGAGAAGGCAGCTACCAGTGTAAACCCGGTGCTGAGGTGAGCGGTCGGCGACGGTTTGGTGCTCCGTTCAGTGTGCATTTCTTCTTCCGGACCCCGCGACTTTCTCCGGGCGGGCTGGGAATGGGGGGAGGCCTGGTGCAGAGTACGCTCGACCGCATTCTTTTCCCGCGTCCCTCGGGGAGCGCGGCCTCCCCGCCGCTCGCTGAGCCCC